CACAATCAAGTCTATATACCAAAAAGCTAATATTATTTGAATCAACTTTATAAAAGCATATAAATAGGCAAATCCAAAGTTTTTTAATACTTGAATGGTTTTTTATAAAAAAAAATAAAAAAGTAAAGAAAACATAAAAATTAACCCCTAAAAGGAAAGGAAATCAAAAACTCAAAATCATGCGCATACAACATAAAAGTGAAGCATGCTAGATATCAAAAGATAGAATGACTAAATTTTGTCTCAATCTAGTAAAACGGTCTTTAAGCAAAGATTTTATAAAAATATCTGCAAGTTGTTGATCAGTAGAAACAAACTTAATCTGAACATTTTCTTTAACAACGTGGTCTGTCATGCAGTGATGTCAAATATCTATGTGTTTCATTCGTGAACAGTATACTGGGTTGTTACTCAAAATCAATAGCACTCTTATTGTCATATCTAAGAGGAATCTTCTTAAAGGTGATGCCTAGTGCTGGAAAGTCAAAGCATCCAAAAGACTTGTGCATAACAACTACCTAATGCAATATACTTGGCCTTTATAGTTGGCAAAACTGCACAGTTTTATTTCTCAGTGGACCAAGATACTTTAAAATGATCTAAAGATACACTGTACCACTAGTGCTTTTCCTATCTAAATGACACCTAGCATAATCGCTATTTGAATATCCAACCAAATAAATAAAAAATTACACGTAGGAAACCATAAATTAAATTTTTGTATTCCAACTAAATATCAAAAAATTTATTTTATAGCTTTTAAATGTGATTCTTTAGGATTAGCTTGAAACCTTAAATACAAATCCACAGAAAATATAATTTCAAGATGAGAAGTAGTAAGATATAAGAGACTATCAATTATTCTCCTATATATATCTTTGATCAATTGATACTTCCGTCTCATCTTTTATAAGCTTTGCAAAAGGACTCATTTGGAGTTGAAACTACTTTCAAATTGTCCGTATTGAAGCATTTGAAAAGCTCTATCACATAGCTCTCTTGTGGAATAAACACTCCATCTTTTGTTTGCTTCACTTGAAACCCTAGAAAATACTTCAGCTCTCCCATCATGCTCATCTAGAACTCGTCTTGCATCAAGCTTTCAAACTTTTGCCAAAGATCCTTATTAGTAGCTCCGAAAATAGTATCACTAATATACATTTGTACAATAAGAATATCTTTACCAATAAATTGAACAAATAAGGTATAGTTAGCATTAACCTTTTGTAAAATTATGTTTAAGTAAATAAGAATTTAGATAGTGTTACCAAGCCCGAGGTGCTTCTTTAAGACCATACAAATTCTTTTCTGACTTATTTACATAGTCTTGAAAGACACGATTAATAAAACATGGGGCTGTTCTATATAGACTTCTTTCTTTAGGCGCCCATTTAAAAATGCACTTTTAACATCTATTTGTTAGAGTTTAAAACCTTTATAATAATAAAAAGTAAGCAGAATTCTAACGGCTTCAAGTCTAGCAGCTGGAACAAAAGTTTCATCAAAATCAACCTCTTCTATTTGATTGTAACATTTAGCAATAAGTCTAGCTTTATTTCTCACGACATTACCTTTCTCATCAATTTTATTCTTAAAGATCCATTTAGTTCCTACAAATGGGTGATCTTTACTTTAGGAACCAAATTCAAAACTTTATTCTTTATAAATTGATAAAGTTCTTCTTGCAATGTGATAATCTAATTTTCATTATTGATAGCTTCATTCACATTCTCAAGTTCTATTTTAGATATGAAATTGACATAAGCACATAATTCTCCAAGAAAAGAATGAGCATTTTCACTTTCACCTAACTTTGATGATGACATGGAACAATAGTAATCATTCAAATGACTATGTGGCTGAAGATTTCTTTTTCGGTGATCTCTAATTAAAATAATTTGTTGATTATTTGAATCTCTTTGATTTTGATCAACATCTGAAGCTTCATGATTTGTCTCCTCATTATTGCCCCATGTTTCCTCCAGAATTTTATTCCCACTCTCCTCTTGTATCTTTTCTTGTTTAACCTAATCAATTAGATTTGTCACAAAAGGGTCACCTACATGATTAACCAAAACACTAGAATGTGAGCTTCATCAAATTTAACATGAATAAACTCTTCAAAAATTTTAGTTCTTTTATTGCAAACTTTATAAGCTTTTTGTTGGGAGCGGTCCACTTATCTCTAGGAGTGACAATGACAGTATAACCTACAATGGTAATAGGTTCACTATGGCTATTCTCTGCACTACTCCATACATCAAAATCGGTGGATAACAAAAAGATTTTCATGCATGCTTTCTAATAGGACTAATTTATCCCATCGAAAAGTGGGCGGCAGTTAACTGCGTGTTCCTCAGAAAAAGCCATTGCGATAGACAAACTAGACATCTCTATCCTAGGTTGTAAATCCTAAAAATAGGTAACGAGACTTTAATACCACTTCTAGATCTAAAATGCAAGCCTGGAGGGGGTGAATAGGGTTACTTTCGTTTTTCACTAAAAATACAAAATATGCAGCGAAAAAGATAAAATAAAAGCGAGCAATGATATTCAAACATAAATGTAGGCATCAAAAATTGCCTATGGGTTCCTACACGCAGCTCGAGACGGAGAGAAGACGATGAACGTTATTATCCGAGTCAAGGAGAATTATCTAATAATAACAAGCATATGAAGCGAGTCAACGAAGCGTACAAATCACGGAGCGACACAATAATGAAGAAACGATCGGATCGGGAGTTACGTTTCAATCACGAATGGCGAAGCGCCACTCATGTCTCATCTGCCTCACATATGATGCACTTATGGAAGGTTGTAGATCTCTTCTTCGGCTTTCCAACACACTCTGAATCGCATCATTCTGAGATCGGACGGGAAACTTACAGCGAGAATAGTCAAGGCGTGCAAAATGGCGCCTCGATCGAAAACCGAGACACACCAAGTGTCTCAGCCAGCCGAGACATAGTTTGTGTCTCGACACTGTGCCTCAGGCCCCAAAAATGCTGTTTTAGTGGTTTTTCACTGTTAACTATCCCGATTCTATTATATCATGATCCAAAGCCTCTCCAACTGATTTGAAACTATTTTGGAATGTGGTTAAGTGGTTACAACTGAAGATAAAAGGGAATCAACCATTCTTATCTGAAAACCAAGCTTCTGAAGCCTATAAATATAGCCCTAGGGCCTTCATTTGCACAGAGGCGGAATTCTCGAGCATCGGCGAAGCCCTGTCGAACTGAAGAGTGAGGATCATGAATTTCAAAGAGGAGAAAGAGATCTCGGCGAGCTATTCAGCATAAAGAGGAAGAAGTCGAGAGATCTACATCCGTTCATCCATTTTTCTTAAGATCGTACCTAGCTGTGATTCTCGAGAAGAGTGATTATCTCGCTTTGTCGAGATAGTTACTTTAATTTCTCGACTCCTTTACGAGTCAACGAAATCTATATATTGATCTGATCGCTCGGTGGTCCACGGATAAACCCCAGCATAGGTAAAGATGTCATGCAAACAGCGGGTAATAAACGTCCGTTGTGTGTGTTTTAAGAGAGTTGTATTTTTTTATTTTTTGTTGAGTTCGTTGTAACGACTGAAGTTGTAATGAGCCCACTAAAAAAATCAACTTTCCACCAAAACAATAAATAACAACCAACCAAGAAGACATAAAATTATACAGTGGTTCTGATAACAATCATTTATTCACTCTTTCTTCTCCCGAAGGGGCTTCCTCACTATGTAAAAAGTTATCATGAATCACATGGTTGGCTTATAAGACCGCACCCTGAAATCTATCTGAAACCATTCATCTAAGATAACTGTCCACAATGAGTAACACCTAGCCTAGCTAGGTCTAACCCTCAATTAGTTCGACTTGAGTTCGGTGTAAACAAGTTCAAAGACAAATCAAACCAAACAGTTAAAGAGCATAAAATCAAGAAAGATCTTTGCAACCCTTTTGTTAAACAAACAATTCTTCAATGGATATAAGCGTAGCTCGATGAAGAATAATGTAGATAATTAACCGAAGGGCAACTCTCCTCACTATAACAATCCAAAGATGTTGTGCGTGACGCGTAAGAGTTTGCCAAGGTTCCGAGGGTTAAATCATTTAATAAAATCCCTCACAAATTAAAACCTTAGAACTCTTCATCC